ATGTAGGTGGGCGGATAAATACTACGCTTGCGATTATCAAGCTTTATGAAATCGGAATTCATACTTTTTTCTGATACAACTAGTTGAACAAAGTCAGATGAATCAAAATCACTTCTTATGGAATGCCAGAAAACACCTTTTTTGAGCTTTTTCGCATTTTAAAAGGCCATTTCATTCTAATTTTTGTTGTTGTTTTTAAAACAACTCTTATTTTTTTTAGCAGATTATTTTCGGTTTTTGTTAAAATTTTGTTTTCTTCGGCCAATATATATTCGTTTCATAATATGTTTGTTTATTTGCCTCATAATTCGTTGTTTGAACGACCAAAATAGTTTTTATTGCAATTTTTGTGCTCTTGAAGGGTCTAAATAGAGTTTAAAAACTTTTATAGCTCAATAGTTTCTACAACTGTTTTTTCGCGTCAATTGTTGCCTTCTTAAATATTGTCTGTTCAATTACCATTGGATGATTATTTTTTTCACAAAACTTACTTTAAGCTGACTATTGTGTTTTTTAGTCTCTTTCTTCAAAATCAACCACCTTCGAAGCAAATAAAAAAAATCGATATTTTTTTTCAAATCAGTGGCTTTTGTCTTATTTTTATAGCTGGCACCCGTTCTTTTTTGAATTAGCGCAAGTGTTGCGAAACTCCGCTTTGCCTATGTACCAACAGTCAAATCTGAATTAAAACTAATGTTTTACTATAAACTCAGTTCATATTTTGTTTATATGTTTTTGTTTTTATTCTGGCTACTGGAAGTGGAAAGGAACTTTTTTTGTGGTTTTTTTTTCGTTTCCTATTTTTTTAACCTAAACTGGAACCAAAAAGCGATTACAGATGGTGTTGAATGATGTATCTTATTAACTCTCATATCGCGAAATGATAAATTTTACAAAAACGCTGAAAGTGTTCTGGGTGTCGGGAAAAACTGGTAAACATTTTTTGATTTTTTAAACAATTCTTTAAGTATAAATTTGTTTTTGAAGCTTTTTTAATTTTTAGGTGTTTAAAAAAACTTTGAAAACAACAAAAAACTCAAACAGTTTTGTCGTTTTCATTACAGGTTTTGCACAGATAACTGTAGTCAACTAAATCTAATGATAAAATTTCCAAGATAAATAAGTGGCACTATCGCTTCTCCCTACATGCCCAACAAAAATAAAATTTGAAGAAATTTTTTTTTGTACTTATATTCGTTTTTGTATAAAAACTACTGTGGTCAGAACCATCTGTCCTACTTGTACACTATTCTTGTCAACTTATTTTTGCCTTAAATTTTCCTCTTCACGTTTTTTGTTTCACATGGATTTAGAGCTAGGGTATAGATAATGTCATTTATGCCATTAGTACTCAGATTTCTTCAAAAAAAACAGTAATATAACCAAATAGCAAAAAAAATTTAACCAGTGAATATCCCTAAAAAAATAAAAATTATCAAAATTGGAGATTTTCGAAATTTATCGAGACTGACTCGTCATTTTTTTTCTAAATTTTTGTCGTTGTAATGGGTGACTCAATAAAACGGCATAAAAATGGAGAAAAAATGAGGCAAAAAATAATTTTGCTGCTTGCATAGGTTATTAATTTGGTTCCGGCCATTTTGAAAGAGTTAGAAAGAACTATGGCGCATGGCCTAATTTGGCGCGAATTCGTAGGCGTAAAGTGGTGGTTCTGATTCTGATAAATTTTCGAAAACTCTTCGAAGTTACAAGAGAAACTGGTCGAAAGTTTTTATTTTTCAGACTCAAATTCAAAAAACAGCGGATAAATTGAGTTTTTTTGATTTTCATGATAAACAGTTTTTGATTTGCCAATATGTGATTGGCTGGTTAAGGTTTTAAAAAAACGTATCATAATCTTGGGCTTCGCCATGATACCGATAAAAACGTTGAAATGTTTTTCATAAAAGAAGCTTTCTTTAAGAAAAAAAATTTCTTTCGTTTATTTTTTTAGGCAATGATTAGTGTGGTTGGAAAATTTGGCGCTTTAAATTGATTCATGCCGAAAAAGTTATAATGGGCACTTTTGAAAAATAAATCTGAGAATGCCACAGTCTGCAATATCTGTTCATGCAATATTGAAGTTTATTGCTCGGCGGTTTTGCATACCAATTAAATACTGTTTCTTAAATCGATTTTCGATTTCTTGTTTAACACTTCCCATAATCAACCCTCCCCCGGAAAGATTGGCGCGGCCGCTTTTAAAGCATCCGCACAAACGTTGCTTCCTTTTAGTTTGTCTATTGCAGCGCAAAATCATTCAAATTATGTTGCTTGTCGTTCCGACATTGAATTTGTATGAAAAAAAAATTTGTCGTTCCGAGCATTGATGGTGCAAAGTTTCTTGCAATTTGATTCGTTTATTTATCTGTTCAAAATCATGATTATTCATTGTGTATAAAAAAATGCGCGCAGCTCCGTTTCGTCACTTTGTTGTTTCGACCATTTGAAAAATGGCAAGGAACTTAGAATTTGGGTGTGATTTAGTTTTTTCTTCTTGTTTTTTATTTTCAACCTATATTTAGGGACCACAAAAGTCATCGGAATGGGTCGAGTGATGTATCATATTTAAGACCTTTCATTCGTGATTTGAACGGAGCAAAAAATTTTTCAAGAAAACTCCTAGTGTTGAGAGTAGCCGGCTTACATTTTTTCAGTTTTAGACTATTTTTGAGCAAGTAAAGCGATCGATTAACATTCGGTATATGAAAAGATTTTTCTCTAGAATTTTTTTTTCTGTTATGATTTCTTTGAAGTCTAATGTTTTCAATTATGCCTAATTCGCTAACTTTCTACGCGTTTTTATAGTTATCTCGACAGACCACGCACAAAAAACGCTACTAATATGAACAAAAAAATTATTTAAAAAAAAAACAGTGTTTTTGGTAGTTTTTTTTTGTGGTATGCATTTGGTCGGAACATTCTGTGCTACTTGTACAGCAATCACCTACCCTTGTTTAAACTAATTGTTGATAATTATTGCTATAAACTTTCGGCGAATTTTTTTTTCGGAATTTGATTCGAAATGTGCACTTAGTAAATAAATATGATTGAGAAATCGAACTTGAGAAAACATATAAAAAGTAAGTTTAATAAAACTTGATTTTTAAATGTTTTTTTTTGTCCACTTTTGATTGCTGATTAAGGAACTTAAGTAAAATCAATTGTAAATAACATTTGGATGCCTAAATTTGCATAGTCTAGTTTTTGGCCATGGTTATAAGAACCTAAATGCTTTTGACAGCCAAATTATATACGAATCAACTAATTGAATCCGAATAATTTATTGAAACAGGAAACTTTTATTGACCTAAAAATTAAGAAGTTTCTAAAAACTAAATTAGATTAACTTATTCTCAAGCAACTTCTGAAGATAAATCAAAAGAAGTTAATCCCTAGCAAATGTTCACAATCAAGTTAAGGCGAACACCTGCTCACAGAGCCTAATTTATCGGTTTGGACCAACGGTTTCAACGCTTATGTCAGAATTAAGTTCGGACATTTGATCAAGTCAGGGACTCTTTTGACTCTTTCCGGTCACAAGCGATAGGGGAGCTTTCAAATTCAATAATAAGAAATCTCGTGTCACAATCATTAGTATATTCTCAGCTTGAGATCCTAGAAATGTTACAATACGTTTCATAGCAAAAGCTTCAAGAGCACTTTGGTTATATTCAGACACATGAAAGCACAGAAGTTACAGAGTTGCTATGGTCTTAAACATATAGAACCATAGTAGTTTCTGTTCGAATTATATAATAATTGGTGAGTACACATTTCAAGTAATGTTTTAACAAGATTTGGTTTCGACTTTACGTTAAATAACTTTCGAAGTTAACTTTGTGAATTACGTTAAATATCGTCTTGCTGCTTTATTAAATCACATATACGTAAGTTTAAATCTTTTGAATGGATTTTTTTCCGAGTCACTGATTTTAAACTATTTTTGGTAAGACTTATATTTATAGATTGTTTCGTTTAGTTTTCATCATTTGAATGTGTTTTAATGAATAGTTTTCGGCTATAAAAACTATTATTGTTAACATTTAACGATGAAATGACTTCGACAGACATGGGACCACCGTCTTACTCAGCCATTAGAAACAGTCAGAATAGTAAACACACTTTACTTCGAATCTTTAATTTAGAAAAAGTAAACCGTTTCGAAATTACTAATATCTTTTTGAAAACGATTTGGCGAATAATAAGCGGATAGTAGTATACCTACTAACTTCTCAAGGAATTATAGGATTATCAACTGGGCGTGATTTGATTTGACTGAAAAGATTTCATCGGATGACTGAAAAACTTCAAATCTTCCCCTAAACCACCTGAAAAATTATATTTAGAATCTTTGTAACAACCCGCTCAACCTTCTCCAACAATTTTTGGTTAAGGTTTGTGAACGTTTATCAGAGGTCAGTTTTTCTTACATTTTTTGCTTTTCATTTATTTATATCTATATATATTTTAATACATTTTTTTTCACATTGTTTTTAAAAAGCTTCTTAAGGTAAGGAAAAACTCAGAATCTCAATCAATTGCTATAGCTTTCAAATATGTATATTTGGATCTACTTAACAATCTCCACCCCTTTCATGAAAGGGGGGGGGTTGTTAAGTAGGTCAAAATGGTCGATTTTTCAACCAATCAGAATGCAGCAAAATTATAATTCTCAATAGAAAGCTCAGTGCTAATTTACTGTATTTATTTATAGGGGTGGAGATTCTTAAGTAGGTACCATAGGGGGGGGGGGGAGAGATTGTTAAGTAGATCCGTATATTTTAATACGTTTTTTTAACATTTTTAATTAGAAAGAGCCATGACCTATTTCAGAAAACTTTTGCGTGCAAAAGCTAATTGTTCAGACAGAAGATATGACTCAAGGTCACCCAAAACTCAAATTTGCATGCAAAAGTTGCTCAATAATGGCAGATTGCTCTTTTTAATTATTTTTGTCTGCTCCAAGTTTTCGCTACTAGTAAATTATTTTGCTGCAGACAGACAGATGAGTGACAATCGCAGGTACGGGGGAGGGGCTAATGGGGGAGTGCCCCCTCCTTATGACGTCGCCCACAGGATCTACAGCAATCCAGCGGCGGGGGGAAACGACACCGTCTACTACAACGACCAGTCTGGTAAGTCCAGATGGATTCGATTTTCTGTTCAAATTTGTTCAAATTTTTTTTGCAAAAATTTAAGCATAATTAATTTGCTAAATTTATTCAATTTCGAGTATTCGATGACGAATCAAGTGTCATAGTTAGAATCCTATGTTTAAGTTAGAATTCACTGTTATGAGAAGAATAATAGCCGGCTGCTGTGCAAGTAGTACAGAATGTTCCGATCATACTCATAAAAGCCTAAAAAAATTTTTAAATGATATATATTTTTTTCAAATTAGTGTTGGTTTTGAGTCGTGCTGATAAAAACAAATTTTAGGCATATTTGGCAGTCACGGTAAAAAAGTAAATTGGGCAACGGGTTTAGTCGAAAAATACAAGAAAAAATTTTTAAAAAAATTATCATTTTTTTGTAAATTTTTTTGCAGAAATGTTTTGAAATTTTGAAGATTTTTATTACCAAGATTGAGTTAAATTAAAGTTTCATGGCTTAACTTTCTGTAGTAAGCATGCTCGCTTGCTTTTTCAGCTCGATATTGAAATAAAAGTCAAAAGTTTTAAACAAGTTTTTCTCGATACTGAAAGGGATTTACTACGATAAATCACTCGACCCATTCCGATGATTATTTGTGGTACCTTCTTGCTGAAAAAAAAACAAAAGCACGAATACAAAATTTTTCCCAATTTTCAATGTTCTAATAAATTAGAATTCACTGATAAGGGATCAAAGATCAAACGGACGTAAATAAAATAACTAAATCGATTTTTTTTGGAGATATGTAGCTAGCGCCGAAATAAAATTTTTTTCTTTTTCAATTTTTAGTTTTTTGTGCGTGCGACGAGGAAAAGGAAAACTTAGAATTTGAGTGATTCAATCCTAAAATTTTTCAAAACAGTTGTCTTCAAAAATGAAGATTAACAATACAAAAAATGAAATTATATTTTTGCAGATTTTTTGAGTTATAGAAACAATTTTTTTGACAAGGACGCGCTAGATGAAGCTTCTAAAATGCGTGGAGTGAAAACTAAGTTTTTTTGCACAGTTTAATTGTCAAATTTGTGTTTATTAAACGTAATCGCATGCTTTACTCCTCGAAATTAGACTAAAAGAAAAAATTTCAAACCAGTTTTTCCCGACATAGAGTTATCATATCATAATGATGTTTGTTGTTCGGATCAGGACTTAATTGACTGCAATATGATGTATCACTCAACCCATTGTGATGATAGTTTGTGGTGATACGCCAAAGATAAAGTTTTTTTTCCCAATTTCAGTTGTCCGGCAAAATATTAATTCCCGAACAACACCTTGAATAAACGAAAGTTTGGCGAATGCAAGCAAGTTGGCTTTTGACACTAGGTGAATTTCCTGTCAAGATAACACCACTTAAAAAAGATAATATTTTGTACTATTAATTGGAACAACGCTGTTGTAATTGAGTTCGTTTTGTTTAAAGAGTTAGGGTCTTTTTTCAAAAAGTTTTTTTTTCAGAATTTTCCACACTGAATGATTTTTAGAAGTTCTGATCTAAGCTTTTTTAAACGTTGCGCTCGATAGCCCTTTAAACACTTAGCCGTATGCTAAATTGATGTCATTCATTTAATGTATCAGATATTTCAAAAATCAAATAAGAAATTGATGGTACCAGAAAGCTGTTCGTATCAAGGCGAAGACCCAAGTGCTTCGGTTGCCGTTTACCGTGCCTAAAATAGCTTCTGGAAAAAAATACTTTTGTGTTTGTTCACCCAATATTTTGATAGGTGAGATTATTTAATTCAACTGAAATTTATTTCTGAGCTGGGTTACTCTACCATCAACGCTATGCCTCAAAAGAAAACTGAAAAGTTCGCGCTCATTAATTATAGCAAAATGTAGGGATTGTCAATTTCCAATGCCCCTTACTCTAAAAGTGGCACGTTATCTTTCAGGCCATTCATATATTTCAGAATAAATGAAACGATTTTATCCAAAAATGTCAAAAAAAAGTCGATGAAATTTTTCTGGGGACAACACACAGTGAATGAATGTTGATAATTCGAGATAAGTTGATTTAGATTTCTAGAGTCTCTGAACTGGAAGGTTTTTGTCTGTGGAACTCAAAAGATTTGTGGAACACAGTGGCATTCGTGAAAAATGTTTTTGATGGGCGGCTGCCAGATGTCTTTTGGTTATTTTTGATCTTTATTTTATGCAAATAAACAAAAGCTGACACAGCAGCCCAGATAGTTTTATCCGCATTTTTTTGCAATCAATCTAAAAAATAAAATTTAAGGCAAGAGGGGTTTGCTCAATCATATTTGAATCATGTTATTTTGAATTTTTCTGATGCAGTTACTAAACAATATAAAGACAGGACTAACATACACATTTTGTTGTCAATGTAATGTGTTCACGAACCGTTTCTTTTTTATTTTTGATATCCAATGTGACATATTCGTTTGTGTTTTTTGTTGTACTTGGTATTGCATTAAAAACACCCGAATACAGAATTATTTCACGCTGCATCACCGGAACAACAAAACCCCTTTGTTTTTTTTTGTTTTTTGCTATTACTATCTTCAAAATGTCTCTCGTATTTTCTTGAGCAAGAGTGCATTTAGTTTTGTTTTCAGAACACAAAATTTCGAAATTATTGATCAAAAAATTTCAATGAAGTAACCTCAATTTTTTATGGTCTAGTCTACAAAACTTTTGATCAATTCTACTCAATGCTTTAGAAAAATATATCTACAACTCGTTTGTTTTACGAATTTTTTCACTAGCTTTTAAACGATACGGCTGTCGTTTTTTGACATGTAAGTACTTGAAGTTTTTTGGCATGTAAAGTAGTGAACAGCCTCAGGATTAGCACGAGGAATGTTTTGCTTCAATGGAGAAATTGGCATAGTTTAAATTATAAATCTATTTTAAAATCAAACGTCTGTACCATGTGATTCAGTTTTGGTTTTAGGAACTGAATTTAATGTCCGCCAGTGCTAATATCCTGTTGATACAATTCATGTAAGGTCACCCCTGCTTTATATAAGAATTAGTGAAATTCGAATTCATTGGCCATAACAACTTAAGAAATGGTTTTGTGAACTATTTATTATCGCAATTGCAGACAACGCTTTTAACAGTCCATGGCACATGTATGCAAAAGTTACTTTATTGTACTAACCTAAAACCCTCATAACTTATTTGCCCTAGAATAGTGGGCAATGAATATACCAGCGAATGCAAGCAAGTTGGCTTTTGACACTAGGTGAGTTTCCTGTCAAGATAACACCACTTAAAAAAGATAATATTTTGTACTATTAATTGGAACAACGCTGTTGTAATTGAGTTCGTTTTGTTTAAAGAGTTAGGGTCTTTTTTCAAAAAGTTTTTTTTTCATAGAATTTTCCACACTGAATGATTTTTAGAAGTTCTGATCTAAGCTTTTTTAAACGTTGCGCTCGATAGCCCTTTAAACACTTAGCCGTATGCTAAATTGATGTCATTCATTTAATGTATCAGATATTTCAAAAATCAAACAAGAAATTGATGGTACCAGAAAGCTGTTCATATCAAGGCGAAGACCCAAGTGCTTCGGTTGCCGTTTACCGTGCCTAAAATAGCTTCTGGAAAAAAATACTTTTGTGTTTGTTCACCCAATATTTTGATAGATGAGATTATCTAATTTCAATTGGAAATTATTTCCGAGCTGGGTTACTCTACCATTAACGCTATGCCTCAAAAGAAAACTGAAAAGTTCGCGCTCATTAATAATTAGCAAAATGTAGGGATTGTCAATTCCCAATGCCCATTACTCTAAAAGTGGCGCGTTATATTTCAGGCCATTCATATATTTCAGAATAAATGAAACGATTTGATCCAAAGTTGTCGAAAATAAAGTCGATGAAACTTTTCTGGGGAAAACACACAATGAATGAATGTTGATAATTCGAGATAAGTTGATTTAGATTTCTAGAGTCTCTGAACTGGAAGGTTTTTGTCTGTGGAACTCAAAAGATTTGTGGAACACAGTGGCATTCGTGAAAAATGTTTGTGATGGGCGGCTGCCAGATGTCTTTTGGTTATTTTTGATCTTTATTTTATGCAAATAAACAAAAGCTGACCAAGCAGCCCAGATAGTTTTATCCGCATTTTTTTGCAATCAATCTAAAAAATAAAATATAAGGCAAGAGGGGTTTGCTCAATCAAATTTGAATCATGTTATTTTAAATTTTTTTGATGCAGTTACTAAACAATATAAAGACAGGACTAACATACACATTTTGTTGTCAATGTAATGTGTTCAGGAACCGTTTCTTTTTTATTTTTGATATTCAGTGTGACAAATTCGTTTGTGTTTTTTGTTGTACTTGCTTTTGCATTAAAAACACCCGAATACAGAATTATTTCACGCTGCATCACCGGAACAACAAAACCCCGTTGTTTTTTTTTCATTTTTGCTATTACTATCTTCAAAATGTCTCTCGTATTTTCTTGAGCAAGAGTGCATTTAGTTTTGTTTTCAGAACACAAAATTTCGAAATTATTGATCAAAAAATGTCAATGAAGTAACCTCATTTTTTTATGGTCTAGTCTACAAAACTTTTGATCAATTCTACTCAATGCTTCAGAAAAATATATCTACAACTCGTTTGTTTTACGAATTTTTTCACTAGCTTTTAAGCGATACGGCTGTCGTTTTTTGACAAGAAAGTACTTGAAGTTTTTTGGCATGTAAAGTAGTGAACAGCCTCAGGATTAGCACTAGGAATGTTTTGCTTCAATGGAGAAATTGGCATAGTTTAAATTATAAATCTATTTTAAAATCAAACGTCTGTACCATATGATTCAGTTTTGGTTTTAGGAACTGAATTTAATGTCCGCCAGTGCTAATATCCTGTTGATACAATTCATGTAAGGTCACCCCTGCTTTATATAAGAATTAGTGAAATTCGAATTCATTGGCCATAACAACTTAAGAAATGGTTTTGTAAACTATTTATTATCGCAATTGCAGACAACGCTTTTAACAGTCCATGGCACATGTATGCAAAAGTTACTTTATTGTACTAACCTAAAACCCTCATAACTTATTTGCCCTAGAATAGTGGGCAATGAAAATATCAGAACTGCTCGCAATGTTGAACTTGGAGAGATAAATTCTTCAAGACAGTTTATCATTCATTGAACTCGAAGGATTCGTTTAGATTTCAGATTAGGGATTCGGTTCAAAGTTTAGAAATTGTGATTATTCAATGGATCGAAGGCACTATACTTTTCGGATGGCCGACACAGGTAAAATTCTGAGTTTAGTTACTTCAAAGTCAACTTGGATTGACCCGTCAATACATTTTTCTAGAGAAAACGAGTCTTAAACATTGCCCCAATAACATTGAATTAGAGTCGAATTAGAAAATAGGAATTGGAAAAGCTTTTTAAAAGCCAATAGTTTACCAGTAGCTAGGTGGATCAATAATGATTTAAACTAAACATAAAAGTTGTCTTTATCGATTGAGCTAAAATTAGTACGGGTTTTTTCGGTTATACACATTTTTGAAGTTAGTGAAGACAACGGCAGAAATAAAAAAAGTGCCAATTTGAGGCTAACAGAGTAAACTATTTCGTCTTGACTAGTCCTATATTAATATCTGGCCTTTCCTTCTAATGTTGGTCCAATTTTATGTACAAAATTTTCTTTTGACTTTCTCATCATTTAGGTGGATTTAACCGAAAAACACATTAGTATGTTAGTTCCGCACTGATGGTAATTTATTGTTTAATTTTTTGTAAAAAAATAGGAGACGTTGCGTTTTTTGAAATGCAAGCAGAAATTTTCCTTCCTAGAAAATAAAACGAACTCTTAAATGATCATTTTTAAGTGCTTTTTTACTTTCTCAGCAGCCTGTAATTTTTCTTTTGGTTTTGTTCCGACTTTCGATACGAAAGTAACGGAATATTTGTGCTCGGGGTGGGTTTTTTTTTCTTCAGACAAATTTCGACTTTTTAACTAGCCATTTTTGACGGAATTTTTTTAATACCATTCAAAAGGTATTGTTGTCCTGAGCTTAAATTTGAAAAGATATTTCACCTGTGATAATTTTTCGTAAAGTTATGAGGGTTTAAAGATTGCCATTTTGCCTATTTTGACCAATTTGGGACAATTAACGCGCGATATAATTCGAGCTAATAACGCGTAAGCGGAGATTTAATCCGTCTTATAAATCGTTCCAAATTGGTTGAAAGAATCTTATTTGCCATAATTGGTTTGTTTCAAGGAACGAAATCTATCCTTTTGTACTTTATATGGCGTGTGGGGGATGATTTTCATAAAAAGTTTCAAATTAAAAAAAATTTCCTTTATTTTATTTCATTGAATTTTTTCATGTTATTACTGCTCCATAAACCTTAAAAGGCAGTCTGAACATTCAGTGCTTCGCCCTGATACGAGCAGTCTTGTTATAATTGTTAATCGTTCCCTACTTAAAGAAGCAATCTTGATTAGTGTTCAAAATATGAAAAATACTCAGTAATATTTAAATCAAAAATAACCCGTAGAAGATGTGTCTGAAAGTACTTTGCGTGGTATTATTCAGGCTAGTAGCATAAAATCCACCAACACGACTTTTAGATCAAAATTTTCCTAAAAGTGTCTAAAACGCATTTTTAACCTGTTTTTCAAAATATCGCCTGCGGCGCAGAACATTTGGTCAAAATTGGGTCTTCATTTAGGTATTTGTGAGAGCTCGGAAAATCAATTTGGTCGACCGAAAGAAAAGGTCGATAAAAGTTTGAAAGATTTTCGATAGTCAGCCTTCCCTCGAGAAAATCCTAGATCCGCCCTTGATAAAATCAATGCCGTATTTTTGGTCTAAAAAACAGTTGACAAAATTTAAAACAAAACTTCGTCGAGACCAAAAAATGCAGCTTTTTTCTCCGAATTATCCATGTATTACATACCTTACGAATCCAGGCTGGTATGATTGATTCATAATTATGCAAGAACGGACATATGCCATATGACATATTTTTCGCGTTATTAGACAGAAAAATATTACTAAACATAGTTACAAATTAGTTGGAATGTTTTTTTTAAATAGTTCAACAAAATAAGTGCCTTTGATTTTAGTAGTTCAAAGATTTTAGTTTTAGCAACAAAGTTTCAATCATAAAAGACTTGAATTTCTTAGGAAAATTTAAGGTCATGTATTTCTATTCAAAGACCTAAGAAAAATCTGTCGTTTTTGGGTTTTCTTCAGTTCGTTTTTTTTTCAACTATCTGTTGGCTAAGTTTTAATTTTAACTGTAACTGCTATTGTTCTGACTTTTGATACGAAAGTAACGGAATATATGTGCTCGGGGTATGTTTTTTTCTTCAGACAAATTTCGACTTCTTAACTAGCCATTTTTGACGGAATTTTATTATATCATTCGAAAGGTAGTGTTGTCATGAGCTCAACTTTGAAAAGATATTTCACCTGTGATCATTTTTCGTAAAATTATGGGGGTTTAAAGATTGCCATTTTGGCCAAATTGAGACAATTAACGCGCGATATATTTCGCGCTATTAACGCGTAAGCTGAGATTTAATAGGGCGTAGAAATCGTTCCAAATTGGTTGGAAGAAGCTTATTTGCCATAATTAATTTGTTACAAGGAGCGAAATTCATCTTCTTGTATTTTATATGGCGCGTGGGGGGATGATTTTTATTTAAAAAAATTTCAAATTTTAGAGGAAAAAAAATGTTTCATTTTGTTTCATTACGATTAATTTTTGAATTTTATTACTGCTCTATAAACCTGAAAGGGAAGTCTGAATATTCAGAGCTTCGCCCTGATACGAGCAGTCCTGTTTAACTATAGCATCAAGCATTTCTTCTTAGTAATTTGTTCCCTTTTTCTGCTGCAATTTTTTGGTGTGAATTGTGCAACCATCAGTACGGGGCCAAACTGTGCCTGGGATAGGATAACAATTTAGTGTTTGTAGGCGTCTCTGGAATCTAGAGACAAGTCTTTAAACATGTTAAAGTTTTGTCGGAACGATCAAAGAAAACGAAAGAGCAGAGGATGAGCAAATATAGCGCCTTTGTTGCGGAATCCGCTCACTATTCACAAAATACATAGTCTGGCCTCGTAGTGATGTTTTTGGTGGAAACGCGATGGACCGAATGCGCGAAACTAAAAATCAGCCAATCAGATTTCAGTAATCTAAAATTTGGAAAGAAAGTAAACTTTCCAGGGACTGGAGTATTGATATTGGCCGAATATAAAAACGGCAGAAATATGCAAAGTTTTCAAATTGTCATTGACCGCCGCAAAATTGGGACCAATTTTGTATTTCAAGGGTTTCGTAATGAAAGAAGCAAAATATTGCTTCATTTAATTCATTTTAAGTGAATGGCAATTGCTTCTTTTTTTATAATTGATTTTCGGCTAATTTTATCTTCGGTCCCTGTCCCACAAGTTTTTTCGCCCATTCGGTCCTTCGCGCATGAGAATAGCCCCGATATTTTTGTTCAGAAGAAGGTGGCTGCTGCAGCTGTTTGGGTAGAGTTCCCTGGCTGACTCTTCTGGGGGTGATTCTGGTCGCAGTCGGGTCCTCCTTCCTTATGCTCGGTTACAAGACATTCGCACCCGGAGTATACGACACATACGAGGCAGTTAACTTCAAACCAGTCATGGAAAAGGAATGGTCGTAAGTTATATAATTGTTTTCAAAGCAGTACTTAAATCAGTTACACTTTGAAAAATCCTAGTTGCCCATTGCCTGCGATGCTGAATATTTGGCTAAACATGATCTATTAAAGTTTAAACTGGCCCAAAAATGCTACAATATTTTCAATTCCGCAATTCAAAATCCTGTACATGCCACTATGGTAATTGATTTATATAATTTAGAAATAAAAATTGCTAAGATGTATTTTACTAAATTACCAATTGGTCATCACAACGTTAGAACGATAAAGAACTCGTGAAATGGATTCAAAGTCGCATCTAATTTTCTTCAATGAAGATATCAGTTTCAGACTCCTTAAGTTTCATCATTAAGCACCATGGAAAGATTCAAAATGACTGGAAATAGGACTTGAGTTGCTGTGGTTCTTCTACTCATCAAAAAATATTTGATGATAACTTTTACCGAGCGTGATGTTCTAATTCGGTTGGGTTTGATTTTAGAAAAAAGACAGCAGACTTCATTGAAAAGGAGGCGGAGCAAGGAAAAGAGTGAGTGCAGATAATATCGTCATCAGAAATAAAGAAGCGCTTTAAATATAGTCAATTTTTGCTAGAACTACATTAAAATCAAGGAATTTAGATGTACCTCTTGTAATACAACTTATGATACTTTAGAACATAGTTTATAAATATGCAAGACGAACATATGGCATCATGAAATAACAGCAGCAGTTTTTTCAGCCCAGATTTCAAAATTTAATACCTGTATTTTTTTTTTATTTTACTTTAAAATTGCAAATTTCTTTTTTTTCTAAAAATTTTTCTACGATGATTCATTTTAAAAAAATTTCAATTAACATTTTCTTGTAGCTCCTACTACAGTCCGGAGAACCCCCAGTACATAATACTGGACTCGTGTCTGGCAGGCGCTGGCTCTCTGTTTCTGCTGGTGGTGGCTCTCATGAGCAGTGGACTCACGAGGAAGCACTGTTGTGAGGCGAGGTCATGTTGCCAGGGATACTGTCTCTTTGTACACTTCACGGTTAGTTTTTAGAGATGCTCAAACAAATCTACAGAGCTACTGCGCCTTTTGTCTATCCCCTCCATTTTGTTGATTTAATAATTTAAATAAATTGATGCTTGTATTATCAACTATATGGAGAAATAAATTCTTCTTCTTGCTTAGGTTTTAGAAACTTAATTGGTGGGGGCTGTTGGAAAAAAAGATTGATCAAGTATTTTAAGATGCAAATGAGAGTACGCGAATTGCACATTAAACTAACCAAAACTGATTGATTTTATACCTTATTTTAACGATTTTAGAGTTCACCAAAATTTTTGCGCATTTGGACCTTCGCTTAAGAAAGATTCCCCCAAGATAGGTTAAGGAAAGATTTTTTCATACCCCTAATTTATCACAAAATGAATTAAAAACGTTATGCTTGTAAAAATTCACTGGTGGCGAAAAAAGGTGGCGTTTGTTTATTTCCACAAACAAATACTTAAAACATTGTACTCCTCAAAATCGCTCCAAAAATAGGCGAATTTGCGGAATCCGCAAAATGTAAGTGAAATACGCAAACTGTAAGTGGAATCCGCAAATTGTAAGTGGAATCCGCATTTTATTTGCGGATTCCACTTAAATTTGCGGATTCTACTTACATTTTGCGGATTCCACTTACATTTTAAGGAATCCACTTACAGTTGCGGAATCGAGAACAACTAGCTATATTTGATTGTTGCGGAATCCGCAAAAAAATCAAATGTGCCGACAATATTTACGTTACAGGTTTTGTACGCGGAATCCACGAAATTTTTGTAAGTGGAATCCACTTACATTTTGGAACATGTTTAAAGATTTGTCTCAGGAACCCAGGAACATACAGACTCAAAATTGTGCGCCTATCCAGTGCACAGTTTGGCCTCGTTATGATGATATTTGTTTTTCGGAAAATCTTACCCGTTCGAAATCTAAGTCTATGCCCAAAGCATCAATACTTTTTAGACCTTATAACTTGACAGGACAAAAACTGGGGGTCAAACATTCGTTCTTTTATAGAAAATTGGAACAATAAATTAAACAAGACTGCTCGTATCGAGCTGAATCACTGAATGATCAGAATGTCCCTAATGTCTACGAACTATTTTTTAAAAAGTTTGTTAAATTTGAGTATGATTTTTCTGTAATTAAAAATACCTTCATAAGCGCATTGATAGAAAACTGACGCTTTGTTATAAAATATTTCCGTCCAGGCGTTTTTTAGACTTTGAAATGATAGAAATTTTTGTCGATGTTATCCCAAATTATCATATTTTAAACCTTCATAAGTTTGCGGTAAAATATAGGGGTATATATTTTTTTATTTGAGCTCAGGCATCAATATTTTTTGATAGTATAAAAATTGAGCTTAAACCTTGAAGTTTGTCTGGAGAAGAACGTAACTTTCAGGAGGTACCACTATCGCAGCCGTAATTGGTCAGACTGTGGTAGACTTAAGCTAGAGGTCAAGTGAGTGTTCGTCCGCGCGCTCTATCATTGCCATATCAGAGGATCGAACAAACAATCTGACCATCTCTAATTGAGCGCATTACCACTATAGCGTGGAAAGCGTATTAAAAAATGTAGTCAAGGATGTAATTTTGCAATGCTGAAGACCTGCATAAGTGCTGAGCAGCTTTGATGACGCAAGCGAGCTCAGTGTTATAATGCGAATCAAGTTTTTTCTCTTTTCCACCCCCATATTTCAAATTTGAAATTCAATTTTGAAAAATCTAAGTTGTAATTGTGAAATTAAATTTGGCATGGTGATAAAACTTTATTTTGAACAGATTTGCTCCTCATGATTTTTGGGGTGAGTGGAGTAGAAAATATCCAAACATTTTTGCAACTCAACTCGCAAATAATAGTACTCATCTGATGGCACTTTGGTATATTTCCCAGCGTTGGCAATTTAATAGTATCTGCAGCTGCTACGTTGGTGGCTAGTGATAGGATAGTGTTAGAGTAACTCGACGCGTTCATGGCCAAGATGCTAGGACCTAAGACTCCAAGTTTCCAGGTTGGAGGTTCGATTCTGGCTCAGGGAATGTTTTTTTTTCAATTTCTTAAGGCTAATTTTTACTTTTTTGTTGTTATCTTATTTTTTTCCGCCTTGTTAGAGCTACTTTTTGCCGTTTTCTTGCTTTTGTTTGCGAAGTGCAGCTTCGCTTCTGTGTTGAACTTTCTCTGGGTTTTCTGACTTACTGAGCTTGAAAGTTAATGTTTTTTGTTCTAGACGGGTCTGGTGGTGATGATTCTGATGTTGGCCTTCTTCTCTCTCTCCCTCCTCCTCATCCTCCCCCTTCTCTTTTCCCTCTTCCTGGACGACTCTTGCGCCCCCAACCAGACCACCCGGCCATGCTTCAACTCCATGACATTCGGTAAGCAGAACCTAACTTTCACTTTCATTTACTTGGTCTCTATTTGGCCGTGTTCGCCAACATTTTGACATTGGGTTTCACTTGGATTTTTCTATTGCTTCAGTGGACTTTAAGGACCCTCTTTTGCCTTCTTCAGCAACAAGAGAGAATTATTGAAAACAATTGAATGATTATATGAAAAAAACTACGACTATGACGCCAAGCTCGTTCTTAAAACTAGGCACAAAATTTTGCCACCACGACTTTTTAAGATACAACACAGATGCTTGTAGTGATTAAGATGCACTTTTTCAAGGAAAACAATAACAAATTATGACTTCAAATTGTCTGAATCCAATTTGGAAACGGTGTCATTTGCCAAATTTTCCCTAATTTGAACCTCTTGAAAAGAAATTTATAGGTGATTTTTATCAGTCCGGAACATTATCTTTACGGGAGTTGAGAAAACTTTGGCAAAATAGTTACTTTAAAAGTCGATTCTTGTCCTAAAAAAAAACGCCCTGAGCAGAAATATTCCGTCAAAGTCGGAACAATAATTGAAATGAGGTTATTAAATATTTTCTTTTGTAATTGTTTTTTCAACTTTGTCGCAGACGCTGTTATCCTGTCGTCTCTAACGCTGGGATTTGAAGATAAAATCATAAGGGGAAGGTTAAAGTTATATATAATAGTTATAACAATTTAATGTTTTCATACCAGAGATTATTTTTAATAGACAATTGTCGATATACATAATGCTGATAAGTAAGGATATCAATTGGCCAGATAGGCCTATTCGAAATATCCCTTAAAGAAACAGTACACTTTCAAACCCCCTAGGTTCTAAAAAGTCTTAGCTAAGAAGTTTAATTGTTTGTGTCCAAACCCTACAACCCAACTTTCAGGAAAAAAGATCTATCAACTCCTGATTATTTGTAATTCGTAAAACGCGAAAACTATGGTAAAGTGTTTAAAATTCACTATTGCTAAGATTGGCGACAGTATCAGCAAGATCTTCAAAGAAAATGTTGATATGATTATTTTCAATCACCGAGTCCAAAATGAGTTTATTAAGGAAATCAGTTTTCAAATTTTGATGTGAAAACTTAACTTATTATTTGAAGAGCTCGCATAATTGCAATTCTTTCACTGAACATATCTTGAAAGTTTCTCTGAAAGATGTGACTGACTAGTTTTTTATACGTTTTCTTTTCAAAATAATCTTGGAATTTGGTTTCGCTACTTTTCAAGTTTTGGAGTGAAGTTGTATTAGATGTGCTCTCCATTACAACCCCATATTGCAGTATTGGCTGAATATGACTAAAATTTGTTTAAACGTATCATCAGCGTATAAATATATGATCACTGCGTTTGCAACTTTTCGTAAATCTGAGATCAATATTATGAACAGTAGTGCTCCGGAAATGATCCCTGTGGACCTCCACAGTGAATAGTTTTCAATTTCGACATTTTAGAGTCTATATTTAAATTACCACCAATATTTTTGTTCAAAATGATGGCATCTGATTTTTCTAAGCGCTAAAAAGTAGAAAAGAGAATGCAGGACACTGACTTGTTTCTGATTTGGTTTCTGAAAAGTAACAATTATTCGAGTTGATCATATACTCCTAATTTTCAAAAAAGAGTTTTAAACAGTTAGTTTTTTCTATCCCATTCTTCAGTGGGAAATTTATCTCCTGTAGCAGCAGAGATTTTTTAGACCAAATGCTTTTGTAGCTTTTTTATAAGGTTTTTACTAAAAATATCTCTTTGCTGGCGTTCGAAATTTTAAATAGGGCTAATTTCAGAGCCAGCTAATAAAAAGTATTGTTCAGGGGATGTGAAGTAATTGTTCTTCCGAAAAAAACAGCCTTCACTGCCTAGATATGAATGCTTTTATAGTCTTACTGATTTGGTTGTGCTGGCTACATAAACTCGTTGAAGATAAAAAAATGAATTCCCAATTTACATCAGCTTTTTTTTTCTGTTCAGGTCTCACTCTGTCTTCCGATACTACGTATAATGGAACCCAGATATGCTTCGGAGACGACGGATTCTGCCCACGGGTAAGTTAATACAAGCGGCGTATAAAATAGCCAAACTATCAGCCAGCCGAAAGTCATACTAAGAAATTTATAATAATTATGGTATCTCTCTAACTATTTCTCCTTATATCTCTTTAACTATGGTATCTCTTTAACTTTTTTGCAGAAAGAGATTCGTTACTAAGTAAAAAATTCACATATACTGAGCCATTGAATTATTCGGGTAGTTTTTTTTTACCCTCGTTAATAGAATACCCGAACAGAACTTAAGGCAATTTATCAATAAGCGGGAAAAAAAAACCAGTTTTTCAGCCGTGAATTTTCGCTTTTTGTGGAGATGAACTTATATCATGTTTATTTAAATGAGATGAGCTAAATTTTTTCGCTTACCACTCAAACAATATCACATCATGGGTATTGTCTCAAAGCCTCGAGCGATTTTTGAAGGACTCTTTTAAATTAAGTTTGTTTGCTTTTAAAAAACAAAGACACGCCTTGTTTTTATAATTAGTGACGGAAAAAGGTGAAGGCATGATCATCTTGGTTGTTGTTTTTCATTAATTTTAATGGGTCTCTTCAACTAATCCCCCTCCCCCTATGGTAAGTAGTAGTAGCAAATTACCATCCAAAAAAAATTAATTTTACAGTTAAATATTTTGTACCAAGTAAAGAACCTAGTTGTACCTAATTACCTAGTAAGCAATCTCCCCTCCTTTTGCGAGAGATCCTCTAATTTTTTTTAAGAGTTAATGAACGTAGTTCAGACTGGTCTATAGGTCAAGATAGTTTTCTTGTGTTTTTTTTTCAGGAAAAGTTTTGCTAACATTTGTTCAATTTTACTTTTTCGCGGTTTGACTTTTGATCTCTTTTTAAGTTCACTTCATTTCCTTTGTTAAAAGGAAGGCAAACTCAACTATAGAACAGCTAAGTCATGAAAAACGTGAGCAATTTCTAGTTTCGAAAGTGGAATTTAATTGTCAGATTTTGCAGCCAAATAAAATATTTACTTAGATCCAGTTTTCGCAAATTGCCTTAACTTTATCAAAATACGTTAATCATAAATATGCTAATCAAAGAGGTTTTAGGCCAGATTTTTTTTCTTGGACAGTCGAAAGTTGAGATTTTTCAAAAACAACAACTCATTTTTTTCGGTGCACTTGCGTTCAGTTGGCTGTTCAGTTCACTGTCTGTTGGCTGTGTTATATTTCTTCTACTTTTCAGCTGGATAACTTGCAAAGAGGTTTCATCTATTGGTGTTCAGGTGGATTCGGGGCCGCCCTTGGAATGGTAGGAGAAATTTGTTTTTCGTAGCAAATATAAAATAAAACAATGTTTTTATTGGTCCAATAAAAAATGATTTCAACCCAATCATCCAATTTTACCAGACAATTTAATGTGCATTTTGAATTTCGACATCCAACTTGGTAAACTAAAATCACCCTAAAGATAAAGAAAGGAAAAATGGCTCAATTACATTTTCACTTTCGTCTAAACTCTCAGCTGCGACGGAAAAAAATCTCATTTCAAATCATACACAAAAATGAACTATTCGGGGAGGTCGGTTGGGTAATAGCACCATATCTTTAAGATTTAGACCCCGTAGTCATCTAACTAGGCATTGTATTTGTTGCAAAAATTGGTTAGGCATAAAATTTTATGCTCCGATTTCCATAAACAAAAAAAAACTTTTTTTCAGTTGAAATTGTATGCGAGGAGGTCTATTGCAATTTAAATACCTCAAAATAATTTACAAAACTACAAAAATATATTACAAAAAAATTACAAATGACAAAGATAATTGGTGTTTGTTTTCAGATCATTGTACTGATGTCACACGCGGCCAATTTCGCCCATTTCTGGGACATGAAAAAGAATGAAAGCGAAGAAAAATACGTCTTCTAGGCTCACTAAAACCTCTTTCTGCATTTTATATTAATTAATGTGATACCATGTATGGAGTAGGCTATTTTTCTCTCCCCCCCCCCTCACCTCATATGAGCATCAATATTAGTGTAAGGAGTGGCTTTACAAGGTTAAATATGAAGACCAAATACATTTTTGTGGCCTAATTAGTAGTCCGTATGTCAATTTGAGCAGTACTTTTACTTGTAAAAGTTTGCAGGGGGGAGGAAGAAGAGCCATGAATTTGATTAGATACACCCTATTTTTCTATAAGTTTGTTTCAGTTTTAGACTTGTTGTCAAACAAACTGCCCTCGAGACCAAATTATCTGCTATAACTCCCAAAACCTCCGACCCCGATTTATTTGTAGTTTAAATGTAAAAAATAAGATTTCAATAAGTGTATGTCGCTTTCGGATTTAATCGCAATGCAAAAGCAATTTATGAGTTTGCTTCAAATTAAGTTATTGTTTTCCTTCCAAAAACAATCAACTACCAGGTTATTTTTAGGAAAATTTTAAATCTACTTTGAGCTTCTTGCATCAGAAAATGTGGACTGATTCTTAAGTCAGTTTCACTTTGTCGAATTCATCCAAGTTGGTTTGGTCCAAAGTCTTAACATAGGTAGCTGAGTAATGCAAAAATGTTTTCCCAAATTTGCCCTTATGTTGTTGAGATTTATAAATTCTAATCCATTCTGAATAAATTTTTGAATGATTGCCATGAAAATGAAAGATTGCTGCCCAAGAACTATGAAAAGACTAGAGATATCGTGATGAAGACAACTAAGAAGACAGGTATTGTGATTTATGCAAAAGAGCACAGGAAGCGCACATGATTTCCAATTCACAGGAATTGTTTCTTGGTTAGTTTTATAACCGAAAAGGAGGATTTAAGAAAATTGCATTTTGGTTTCATAGTTTTCACTTGAAAACTATCAAGATTTAAAAATACTTGAAAAAATTATTGACTTTTTTTTGAGAAAATTTGATGTAAAACTCACCGAATTGATTGTTCATATCTTCAGGTCTACCTAGCTTTCCGGTTAACCACAGCCTGGCAAATTTCATGCTGCAATAATGGTACAACGTGAAAGTTCGCAAAAAAGAAAGACAAAAAATGGCTGATGACTTTTCCATGTGAAAAACACAAATAACGGCCTTGAGCTGCTAAAAATTTTGCCTAAAAAAATTAATCCAGTCTGGAATATGGGAAGTAATAAAACTAGATTATGCTCTAACAGGCAATTGATAATTTTGCATCGATCCTCAGCGAATCGCTGAAACTTATATTATGATTATTATCAGGGGCGGATTTAAGGGGGGGGGGGGGGCGGACGTCTTCCCCTCAGGGATTCGACCCCCTGCCGATCAAAAGGGTCCCCCTTTTGGTACTTTTTAAGAAATCCATTTTTTGCCGACCGACCCTAAAATTTTTTTAAAGGCGCCTTAGGCGCCAATATATACTAACTTTGAGGGGGAGCGCGCGCCAAAAAAGCGCGATTTCTTTGTCAACATTTTTCAAAAAGTGTCTAAAGACGGCTTTTTTGACCTGTTTTTTCAAAAATTTGCCTGCGGCGCACAAAGATTGGCCAAAACAGGGACTTTTTAGGGCTTTAAAAGAGCTCGGAAAATCAATTTGGTCGACCTAAAAAAAGGTCGTCAAAATTTACGAAACATTTTTGAAAATCCCCCCCCTCGAAAAAATCCTAGATCCGCCCCTGATTATTATTAATATCAAAAATTTTGGGCCTTCGTAGTGTTCACTTTTTGCTTGAGTCTAAAACTACAATGAAACACCTCTGCGACCTTTTATGAATTCGTTTCGAAATATACATTAACTTCAGGTACCAAATTACTAAATGGTAATATCATGCTACCCAGTTGCTGATCAAAGTGAGTTAGGACCGTGTTGGTTAACTCATAGAGTAATTTCGGATAGGGTACACCGTCTGCTCGTCACGCTATCTTATTTTCGGCCGGATAGATTCGTGCAACTTCTTAGTCTAATACCGATCCTAATCTTACTCTTATACTATCTAGTCTCAGGTTGTTTAACTAGTCTCTGCTAGGCTCAATAGATCTAGGGTATACTGGTTTATTGCGGCTGCTGAAGTGCTCGGGAGAGTCCAACTAATTTCTAAGTTAAATTCAAATCTCTCTGGTGCTGAAATTACAAGTAACTTCAGCACTTACAAATAAGTGGGTTGTTAGTTAGATGGATCGTGATTGGTTAATATTAAATACTTTACATTGGTAAAACATTTAATTTATCCAATCATAAAATATAGTTTAGATCAGGTTCCACCCATCCGGGTTTTACAGAGTTTTTTTAGAACAGTTCTTCTGTAATTCAAGGATGGATGATGGACGTTGGTATTTGGTGAACATCATAATTTTTTTCCGCTTCTTCTTTGTTAAAGAAGTTTCAGGAAGCTGGAGTTAGGGACATAAGACGTTGTGTTCTTCTTGTGACAACGACTGAGTCTCTGCAACAAAATCAATTCTGATTTCAGAATGGTTGGCTATGTCAGGTTTTCCTGTTCTTCGGGGAGAACTTCTTTTGTGTCTGATCTAGCTTGGGAATGGCGTGGAGATTGTGCGTGGAGGGGATGCCTGGTTACTCGGATCTGTACGTATACTTGAACATCGAGGTGGTCATTGGTCTAGTTCAATGAAGTCCTTTTCTGCGAGGTCAAGTCGTACTCTAAATCCTTTGAGTTGTGATTGTGAGCGGCATATCGATTGTAGTTGGTCATTCTCTCTCGAGTGTAGTGGGGTCGTCTTGTCTTTTGATGTTCGTCCTTGGTGTTGTATTCTGATCTATATATTGCATCATGTGATTTTACATTTTATAAAACTTTTATTAGTTTAATATTTTTTAATAATGATTTTAGTTAGTTGTTTTCACAAAAGCTTTTTGTTTTAGTTCGGTTATTTTGAAGAGTTACTCACACTTGAGTAGCTCTTATTAAAAATAAAGGTGTGGTCACAAAGCGTGGGTGTAGCACGGTGGGTTAGGCCGGCTATAGAGCATGCTCAGGACGTCCTTCCTGGTGGGTTAGGCCAGGAGTGGGAGTATGATTTCATGCGGTTTTTGTGAGGGGTCCTGTTATGTGACAACGTTTTATGTTGGGTTTGTTGTGGTTTTTCTTATGTTTTGTTGGTTGTGTACTTTTTCCAAAAAGCAAATTGTTTGTGGTATGGGTTTGTCTTTCGACTTTTTTGTGTTTTATTATTTCTTTCTAAGACTTTGTAATAGTCTTCAAAAGAATAAATTATCCAGTTTTAAACTGGGTTAATCCGGTTTGGGTACCGTTGGTTTCCTTTTCTTAGTCATGCTGTTATTCTATGATTTGTGGTATTTAGTAAGCTGTGTTGGTTAGTTTTGTTTAATATATGATTCCTTTCCAACCGGGTTAAAGGAAAGTTTGAAACATGTTATTATATGTTAGAGTTGTTGAGTGTGAAAACTTGAAACTGAAATTCATTATTTTAAACAATTCTTCGTGGGCGAGCTGTGCGAGTGTGGATAGAATTTCTGTGCGAATAAATGAGAATATCAAAAGGTTAGTACTGCATTTGCATTTTATTAATTTACTGCATAGAATTTGGAAATTTACTGCTAGTTATGGGGGAATTTTAAGTTACAAATTTTCATCATAATTAGATTTACTGCTTGTGGAGAAAATTTTAGAAATGAATTTATTGCATTGGTATTAAATTTATAAATTTATAAGTGTAAGAGATTAATAGAATTTTTGAAATCCGTTTGATGAAATTTGCAACATTTATTTGTTTTTTGTGGTTTTTGTAGGTGATCGTCGGATGAAGGCTAAAAATCTAAAGAAAACATGAATAAAGAATGGTGAGTTTTTAATACTGTAATTAGTTAGTAATATTCATTTAATTCATACTTACCTGTTAGTCGTCGGGAAAAAAACCGTGGGGGAAGATGTCGTGAATTAGTTCTGAAGTTGTTAGTAGTTTAGCTAAGATGCGGATGATATTTTTAGTCTGAAGCAGTGGCCAAAGCAATTGAAGTGCCTTAATAGTGGTTAGTTCTTCAGTGCCAACTGCAAACTCATAAGGTGTGTTTTGGATTAGATTATATAATTTGTGATTAAATTTAGTGTTGTGGATGAATTCTAAAATTGGGATTTCTATAGGTTGTACAAACTCGTGCGGGATAAGGAAGGGTCGGGATTCTTCGGCGTTGAAGGTCTTAGTAATGGGACAGAAGATGTACATTTGGGTTATGGGGTCATAATTACGAAGAATACCATGGAGGTTAGTGTCTTTAATACAATATGTGAAATTTAGGAAAAATGGTGAAGTGTATTTGGAATTAATGAATTGAAAACGATGGTGTGGTTGTCTAGAAGGTGTGTGTAGGTCAAAGTGATTTTGGATGAAGCGATAATAACTATATGTGTGGGTTTGTTTAGTGCGCAACATAATATCGTGTGAGCAGTGTAAATCTCTTTCGTGTGGTGCAAGGAAATGAAAGGTTAGTGAAAATATTTGGAAGCGTTCTTTAAAACTTTCGTATGCTTGTGTGTCTGTTAGTGCTTCTGAAATAATGTGATCAAACTTTCGGTCGAAGATGTTTAGTGTGAATGTATATGGTGTCTTGATGAAAAATTTCTCGGTAATTTGTGGATTAGCGAAGCGATCGTCGTCTAAGAATTGATCTTGGTTAGCTCTGATGATGTTGTGATCATAGTATTCGAGTGTATATTCGTTAGCTCTAGGTGCAGTGTGTGTTTTTAGTGATTTTTTATATCCAACGTAAGTAAATTGTCTAGGTGTTAGTGGTGTAGTGAGTCGATATAGCATGTCCGTATTTCGCTCTACATCGATGTGAGTGTTAGATAAAGGTAAGCAAAGAGGGTTAGTGAAATGATAATATGAGGTCCAAGAGAGAGTGGGCATTAAAACGTATTCATCTACGAAGTTGCGTGTTTCGTTAGTGTCGTGGGGGGTGTTTAAGGTGTATTGTGGGAATGAGGGTAAGGTGATGGCTAAAAATTCTTTTGTGTTAGTATGCTTGGGGTGGTTGATGTATTCACGGGCTGTTCCTGGTTTTGCTGGGAAAGGATGGTTGGGGAACTTTCTTTTAAAAGTGCGGTAA